TGACCAGAAATTCCAGACCGCGGGCTGAAGTTAGGCTGACGGTCTGAATGGTTTTTGAGTAAATCAGCCCGCGGGCTGGGATTCTACACCAGTAGTCTAGTGCCTTTAGACCGAAGGTCCTGTAATTAAAACTTGCGGGCTAGTTGTTAGGCCTGACGGGCTGTTAGGAAAGACCACCGGTCTGCTTGTATTTATTATTAATGATATCTTAAGTTATGAACACTGCAGAACAATAATTTTCATATCACTGTGCTCATTACACCAAGAGCTACACACTGATGCGAAACTTGAATGTTGAAAATCAATTTTTAGTTGAGTTTCCAAATGGCTTGTGACTTTCCAAAATTGATGCGACCAGTGTTAGAACACTCTATCCAGCTTGACTGGCTGTGGCTGGGTGGGAGGGGCAGATCCTACAGACAACAAAGTTACAACATCTCAACACTGTAATAAAGCTAACACATGAAACAGAACACTCTATCCAGCTTGACTGGCTGTGGCTGGGTGGGAGGGGCGGATCCTACAGACAACAAAGTTACAACATCTCAACACTGTAATAAAGCTAACACATGAAACAGAACACTCTATCCAGCTTGACTGGCTGTGGCTGGGTGGGAGGGGCGGATCCTACAGACAACAAAGTTACAACATCTCAACACTGTACTAAAGCTAACACATGATGGAAACAGAATACTGTAGCTCTAAAACACATCTGATCACTGGGACAAGAATGGTTTGTACTTAAAGCTAACACGTAGAAACAGAATACTGCACATTCTAAAACATGATGCTAATCCAGCAGTGCCTACCTCCTGGTTCTGTGGTTTCTTTCTGGCCAGCAGTGTTTGGTTGGTTGTCCACAGGCTGCTCCTCTGGTCCACTCAGGTAGGTGGAACAGTCAGACAGCACATTGACAATCTCCAGAAACCCTGCTGCTACCAAGATGTCCTGGGCTGTCTCCTTGGTCAGCACCAGCTTGGCTGTGTACATGTAGTCCAGAAGAGCACTGAAGCCTTTCTCTGTCACAGGGTCCAGTTGGACCTGCTCAGGTGGGCAAGGGAAAAAATATTGGCATTGGCAATTTAAATGTATGATGTAAAAGGTGAATGCAAGTCTGTCATCCCGAGGTGAAGCAGCGTGCAAAATAACTGGTTGCCCAGTTGTCCCGGGCAACCAAATTTTAATTGGGGCAACCTATTTTTGAACCTAGGTAGAGCAGTGTGCTACCTGAATTTTAAGAATGCCCCCTCACCCTATCCCTTCTTTATATGTGTGTCACAAATTGAGTTTGAGGCTTAGTTAGAAGCTGTGCAAGTATTTCTGATGTCTACCTGTACGTAACCTGCATTGGTCCATGTACTGGCTATATGCAAGTTTGTGCAGGTAAAACTGGAGCTGTGCAGGTATTCCTGATGTCTACCTGCACCTAACCTGCACTGGTCCATGTACTGGGTACATGTATATGCAGGTTAGTGCAGGTAAAATTGGAGCTGTGCAGGTATTTCTGATGTCTACCTGTACCTAACCTGCACTGGTCCATGTACTGGGTATATGCAGGAACTCAGGTTACTGGTTAGTGTAGGTAAAATTGAAGCTGTGCAGGTATTTCTGATGTCTACCTGTACGTAACCTGCACTGGTCCATGTTCTAGGTACATGCAGGTTAGTACAGGTAAAATTGGGGCTGCACCAGTGCAGGTATGCTGAAAAAAAGTACTTATCATGAGCTGCAGTCATAAACATGATAATTATGTACCTCTGATGCCTCGTTAGTGGCAAGCAGTGACTTGAAGTAACCAGAAAAGGCAGACAGCACACATTTGTGGGCGGTCCAGGAAAGGTCCCCACTTGATGTCTTCAGGGTGATGTCACACAGGAAACCGTCTTTACGCTGCTGGTCCAGCTGCTGGAGTAAACTTTCAGGGAGACTCAAGTACTCATAGATGTGGGTGGCACCTGTAGCCATTTTCACTCTGCAGAACAACACAGTAAAGGGTATCAATGATAATGTATATAAGCCACTGTGAAATACAACGATGTATAATGGAAAGGAAAGTTTATTGCAAATTCATGCCCGAGGGCTAATTGCAAGAACATGATAACAACAGTAAACAGTAAAATGATAATAAGTAATGCTAATGGTACTTTATATATACATTTGTAGTTATTGTTGGGTTTGATTTCTTTTCCATGTGCAGTGGAGTATGAAATGGCCGACATTTTGCGAGACATATGAATTGGGAGGTGTTAATAGAAATGCAGTTTTTTGTAGGCTGGGAAGGTGAATAAAGCTGGGGAACATTTTGGTGACCATTTCAAATAACTGATCTCTCTCGGTGCTATAATGAGGGCAATGACAAATAAAGTGCATTTCATCCTCCACTGCATATAATTAAAGGTTCATGATCCTTCCTGAGATGTAACTGTTATCTACACTGTGAGACAGGTGGGTCAATAACGTTACTTGTACTATCATTCTATTCATAGGCTGAGTAGCATATAACAGTAAGTAAGTATTTTCAATTTTGTAAACTAAATAGATCATTGTAATGTTACTCTACAATACCGGTATTGTATTTCCTTGGGATTGTTTTACATGTTCCATTTGATGGTCATTCAAATAGAATTTATTTGTATGTTTCAAGAAAAATCTAACTTACACCTTACAGTGGCCATGGGGGTAGCATGTTCTGTATCTGTATCTGTATAGCCGGTATAACCGCCTTTCGGCGTAACACACCAGCTTCGCAGGCACGCGGCGCGGCGGCAGCTGGCTATATTACACCGATCGACTTGTTACACCTAACCCTTGAACTTCTAGCTCTAGACATTGTTTAAAGCTATCTATTGACAATGCCCCTACTGTACTTGGTGACAGTGAGTTCCACTCTGCGATAGTTCTAGGAAAGAATGAATTCTTGAACACCTCAATCCTCGGTTGATAACTCTGGTACTTGAATGCGTGGCTATTTCTTGTTCTCTTCTGGGCTGGTATTAGGTACTTGTTATTGTTAGTTATAATACCTTTACTTTTACTTCTACTCAAAGTTAACTTGTATTAACATAGTTTTTATTTTGTATATATATATTTCCTGAAGAATTAGTTACTAGTATGTCAAGATGGTTAACACCTAATTCAACAAAGAAATGTGTAACAAATTTAAGCAGAGTTCACCCCCCCCCTGCATAATGGTGCGGTCAAGACTCAAGTGTTGTAAAACATGTTAATTAGCAATATTGTAATAAAGATGATGGGGACTTCTGATTAGTCAGCATCATCTTACTAATGTTAACGTTACATGTAACATCCGTGTCCATAATATCACCAGGGTCCATAATATTGCCACCTTGAGAAACAGTGTGCTTAAAGATATTTTTACTGCAACATACTTTTGGTATGCACTCCTTCACACATCAAATGTACATACCTAGGGTATGTTGCAGTATATAAGCACACTTTTTCTCAAGGTGGCGATAATGGACCCTGGTGATATTATGGACACGGATGTTTTTTTTAACGTTACTTAGTATATGAAAGTAAAATGCAATTTTATATATTTAACGTTATAATTCTAATTTTCTAATTGATACAGATAATGTCATAACATAGATGTACAAAATGTAATCAAACTTTTTGTGCTGTCTTTTTTCTAGCAAGGAGTCCAAAATGCTGGACTCTAGGCGACCTTTTTTCACCTCAGCCAGTTGTAGTGCCACTCACCTCCGCATGAGGGAGGATAAAAAAGCAAGCTACAGTATGTTACATCAATACATGTGCATAATTTATACGTTTAATAGCGTGGTCTTTTCCCACCTGTTTATGTATAAATTATACATGTCATGCTAGAATCCATACAACTTACTAGTAACTTCTCTCTCGTCGTTTCCCTCTGTAATTTTTTAACACGCCAACTTTATACTCCAACTTCCTGCATATAATTTGCGCCTTCTTACAAACGGCGCCATGCGCGCTACACACACACACACACATCTTCTTGTTCTGCATACAGTTATAAGAAAATCCCCCTCAAGTGAGTAACTTAGGAATTATGAAATATTTCGGGATACATCTTAGAATGCTGGGGACTGTAATTTTTAGGCAACATCGAGCCTTGCATGCTACACAACCAAGCGTTCAGTAGTAATCAGTTACCAAAGCATCCTACATTTGGAGGTTTTCACGTATGCAAATATCCCGTTCTGCTGCGGTGTTAGGTGTCACTGCCATCATTTCCAACCCCCAAATTCTCAACTGACGACTCTATGAACCACAATATTAAAGCAACTTCACCTTTTGTCCAGCAAAATTTCCAGGATATGGCCAGGAGATGTTCACTTGTCTGGAGTCCGCTGAAAAGCACAAGATGGCGTCCCGTGTCGTTGCTATCTTACCAAGGCCCCAAACCTCTCGTACATAGTCTGTAAATGAAAAGGCAATAACGTTAAAAGTTAACTATAGCAGATGCTTAAAAGATACATTAAAATTTACAAACATTTCTTTTGACTAGTTCTTGATGACATAAGCCATACATAATGAAAAATTTGTTTTCACCACGCAAAAACTATGTTGTGCTATGTGGTTTTGTTCTCGCTCAGCGCGGCCAGATTTGGCAGCACGGGCGGAAGTGACGTCATAATCGTACCCAGGGTCTGCTACTTAGTGTGCCCTGGGAACGATGGTAGCAATCAAATCAACTTTGACAACTTTGGCCACAGCGAATGGATGACATCAACGCGCGCATTAATTTTCGCCTGCTTTGAAAAAAAAAAAAAAAAAAAAAGGAAAAGAAAGCAAGAGATTTTGTTGCCCTCGAAAATGGGCAAAGATTTCTGTTGCTATTTTGCCGGAACCTGGATAGCAGATAAAAATGAAGAGACGAGACAAGACAAGGCTCTTACTAGTATTTTTTTTGTCTTTTACTCTGGTGTCTTGTGATTGTAACTGTGAATATGTGTCCTCACTGAATCAAAGTTGTTCCAGTGAGAAATGAATGTTGTAATAGTTGGTCTGAGCAAAAGGGTTCTTCAGTTTTAACCTCCTTGTTGGTAGTAAACTCATGATCACTCTACAGATATGTCAGCAGGCACGAGACGCAACTATACAGATATACAATGTAGTAATATAGCAGCCGTTTCTTGGTGTTACTGTATTTGCCTTGCTTTTTCGCATCCTGTGTGACATTGTCTGTCATCTTTATAACTCAACGACGTGTAACACGTGCTCGTCCCCTCCGCCTACACACATAATGTACAGATATGTCAGCAGGGACGAGACGCAACTATACAGATATAGTGATATACCAGCCGTTTCTTGTGCTATTTGCCGATCGAGTGGCCTTGCTTATTCGCATCGTGTGTGACGTTGTCTGTCATCTTTATAAGTGAGTGTAGTATTAGTCTAAACAAGTGTAGTGTGATTGGAGGGGGGGGGGAAACTAGCAATGTATTCAAGGTTGCAGTGTGAGTGAAGATATGATACAGTTCCTTCGAGAGGATGTGGGTGGCCCTGAAAAGGGCCGGGGTTGCGGGATGTGGGTCTCCGTCTGGAAGTTACTGAGCCTTGCTGGTCTTCTTGGGGAGAAGTACGGCGTGGATGTTGGGGAGAACGCCGCCCTGAGCAATGGTGACGCCGGACAGCAGCTTGTTCAACTCCTCGTCGTTACGGACGGCCAGCTGAAGGTGGCGGGGGATGATTCTGGTCTTCTTGTTGTCGCGAGCAGCGTTGCCAGCCAGCTCAAGGATCTCGGCCGTCAGGTACTCCAGCACCGCCGCCAGGTACACCGGCGCGCCGGCACCCACGCGCTGGGCATAGTTTCCCTTGCGCAAGAAGCGATGAACTCGGCCAACCGGGAACTGGAGACCCGCACGGGAAGAGCGGCTCTTGGCCTTGGCGCGTGCCTTGCCTCCTTTACCACGTCCAGACATCTTGTAGTATATTCGATTGATTAGCGTCAAACGGCAGAGAAAGAATGAATGAAAGGCACAATCGTCTGCCCAACCAATTTGTACCCCGCTGCTGGATCGACAGCGAACCAATAGGACGAGCTTATTGTCGTGAGTTCATTTCTACCACGTCCGCACCTTGGACTAGACAATCCAACAATTTGCATTCTTCCCCGATATAAAAGACAAAGCCGGAAGGGGTGCAGCTATTCTTTGCTGTCTAAATCGCCAAGAATATCGTCATGCCGCCAAGTGGAAAAGCCGCCAAGAAAGCTGGCAAAGCCAGGCCGGTCGGAGACAAGAAGAAGGGAAGGAGGAGAAAGAGGAGGGAGACCTTCGGCGTCTACATCTACAAAGTGCTGAAGCAGGTGCACCCCGACACCGGCGTCTCCAGCAAGGCCATGGGCATCATGAACTCATTTGTCAACGACATCTTCGAGCGCATCGCCGCCGAGGCTTCCCGTCTGGCTCACTACAACAAGCGCTCCACCATCAGTAGCCGCGAGATTCAGACCGCCGTCAGACTCCTGCTGCCGGGCGAGCTGGCCAAGCACGCCGTCAGCGAGGGCACCAAGGCCGTCACCAAGTACACCAGCTCCAAGTAGATCGATCGCCGCTGCTACACATAACCCCGGCCTTTTTCAAGGCCACCCACATCCCCACAAAAGAGCTGTCTCAATCACAATATAATCACAATATACACTGCGACAATATACACATGTGCACACCACTAACCTGTGACCGCAGCTAGCTACAAAGCTAGTCCAGCGTCCAGCGTGAACTGCAACGCACAACAACAACAGAAAAGAAAGAAAAACAAGTCAAGTTTATTCTGACGTAATAAAAGTCGGAACGCGTTCTTTCTTGTCGAACAAGGCATAAAGGAGGCCTTCTGGAACAAATGTCGCCTGCGACGTTCCTTAGAACAATATGCATGGATTGGCCGTATAGTAGGTCGGCTTTCTTGTCCTGGCTAAACATACTATAAAACAGTGTTTACATATACATGTACATCTTTCTGTGCGTGTGTCTGTCTGTCTGTGTGTGTGTGGGGTGGGGCGTACTTTGTTCTTCTTGATCATTTGCTTTGTTTATTTTGTAATTACATTTTCCCGACGATGTTTGTCTTGTCGCCGGGAACTTCTCCGCATGGCATTGTCTTGCTCGGGGTTCGGATGGCGTGTTACCATTGGCTAGTTGTAGCGGTGGCCAGGACTCCGCGCAGGTCCGCAGGGCGGTTACTAATGTGGCTCCGTCGTCCGGTTATTCATTCATTCATTCTTTGTTCTGTTCTGATCGAGAAGAGCATCGTACAATCTGCACCGGCTACAAAACCAATATCAGATAGTAAAGGACTTATAGGCAAGCCAATAAGTGCATAAGTAAGGGCCTGGAGGACGTCCTCCCGTCCTCCAGAGGACGTGATAACGCATTGCTATCCTCTGGAGAGGATATCGGCCACTGCGCACGTATTATTGGCCATGGACAGTGCACCACGTGATTGCACCGCGCGTACGCTGTGAAACCAGGCACCGGTCGACTGGACGCGTTGGTGTTTGCTATACCATGGAGGTAGCTACCTCCATGGCTATACCCAGTATACGCACACATTTTGGTTAAATTGTCCGAAATCTGCAATTTTTGAGGTGGTGAAGATCGAGCAATTCACCTTCAGAGTGTGGACAGCTATTTGGACAAGTTCTGGGCAGTTTGTTCTCAGGTAAGGATGCCAAAACGTCGTATACTAGTAAACTTTAATACGTAAACATACGGTCGGTGGGGAGGGGTACGGGTCTACAACCGTGGCTTTTTGCTGTTTGGGGGTAGGAAGTTTGTAATTTCTTTCTTCTTCTTGTGTTTCGGAGTTCTGGTGGTCCAACGTCAATTTGTTTTTTTAGACCGGAGCCTGTATCAAATATAAAGCCGAGGCGAACCGCCCCCCTCCCCCATGATCGCGACCCACATGGGTTTGCGGAAAAACCGATCCAGTCCAACAGGCGGAAAGACCAACCCGGTCTGCGAAAAAGGTCTGCTAGGCCTGCCTTTATAGCCCAAATAACCACTATTTAAGCAACTTTATTGTGTTTAGAAAACAGATATGATGTGCAGGTTGGATCCATGTACAAAGGAAGACAAAGAAGAACTGAAAAGGGTACAGAATCAAGCTGCAAGATTCTGTATGAACAGAACTATGAAAGGGGTGCTAGTGTCACAGAAATGAAAAGAAACCTACAGTGGGCCTCACTGGAAGGCAGAACAAAAGTGTCAAGACTATGCATGATGTACAAAATTACTAATAAACTGTTGGATGTCCCAACTACTTAGTACCTGATACCAGCCCAGAAGAGAACAACAAATAGCCATGTCTTCAAGTAGTACCAGAGTTATCAACCTGGGATTGAGGTGTTCAAGAATTCATTCTTTCCTAGAAGTATTGCAGAGTGGAACTCGCTGTCACCTAGTACAGTAGGGGCATTGTCAATTAGATAGCTAAGCTTTAAACAATGTCTAGAGTTAGATGTTCAAGGGTTAGGTGTAACAAGTCGATCTGTGTAATGTAGCCAGCTGCCGCCGTGCCGCGTGTCTGCGAAGCTGATGTGTTTCGCCGAAGGGCAGTTATACTGGCTATACTGATACAGATACAGACAGATAGGTGTGGCTGCACATGAAAAGGGGATATGGAGGCTAACAGGAGGGGTACTAATTTCGGCCCATGTTCCATTTGCCAACACACACACCTTTTGTAATAGTTTGTCTTACCAAAAACCTGCGCAACATGAACTTTAATATTGACAGATAAAGATAACAATGATTAAATCCACACAGGTGTGTATTTTTACTTCAGTGCAGTGTCTTGCACCCAAGCGTAGTGGTTTGTGAAATTATATGAAATTTGGGTCATTTTTGCCAGTGGAACATTCTATCGCATCAGGCCTAGGGGTGCCCTAATTCTGACCTACTGTAGCCAAAACACAGGCATATGACTAAAACTATATACAACTGTTTTTCTGCCCCCAAACAAGTTTTTACCATTAGCGACTTGCTTCAAAGTGGCTGTTTCAAAATCAAAACTGCATTTTTAACACGCACGCAACTGAACAGACTTTTGTGGGATTACAACAAAAAAAGATTTTTGTGCCAAAACTGTAAATATGAAATTTTATCATCTAGATTGTCATTTTGCATACATACTGTACATACATGTATTAGCATCACCATTTTGCTTTTCCGGTGACTAAGTGCTGAGTGCACCAGGCCCACTGTACTTTTAGGCGGCATCTAAACAGGTTTGTTTTGGTATCTTCGTCAGCTTCCGATGTATTTTTGTGGCGCAACGATTTGATCCTTTACTCCGTAAATGAACCCAGGTAGGGTTATACTATTATACTAACAAGTTGTAGCACAAGGAAAATATGATAAACAATGGCGTTTAAAAAAAATTTAAATATATGGAAATCTTTCATAATATTGCCTTAAAACCAAAGATTGAGAGTAGAAATACAAGGCAAATGATTGACTGTACTTCTCAAAGAAATATTGAATATACCCCCTCCATGATTTACCTATCTCCTAGAGCCGTGTACCTGTACATATAATTTGTTTAGATACGCAGCTCTACTATCTTGTTTAAACATTTTGAGTACACAACCCAAAAGGAAATGTTCTTCTGAAATTTTAATAGTGATTTTCAGCTTACAGT